GCATTGGGAGGCTTCATGTCGTAGTCGTGCAGTGGAAGTCAAAGAAATGTACTAAAAAGCGTGATGCACGTGCACAACAGTTGTTTTGCTGGTAAAACCAATTGTTTTTTGACGTTGTTGTTGTCGTTGTCGTTGCTTAAGGTCCCTAATATAGAAATAATATGAACGATGGTTACAAAATAAAGGTAGAAAAAATTCACTTTCGTCCGCGGCCGCCGCATACGTGACCGTACCCATACTGTATCTTTTCAGTAGTATACGATATGGGGTTACCAGCACACTTTGCTCATAAGTAGCACAAATTTATAAAATGTATTTTGGCACCCCAAAAATGGTTTTGAATTTGGCACTCAGCTCTAGTTCCAATTTTCAAAATATATTTTGAGCGCCAATTTTGTATTTTGAATTTAGCATCCAGTTCTGCCAGCAAACTGCATGTAATTTTTAAAATGGTTTATGGAGTTGGAAAATACATTTTTGGAATTTGATCTTGTTTCTGATTTATATAAACTATGTGTATGGACATAAGTACGGAATTTATTAAGGATTTTGTTAGAGAATTTAAAAGTGCTAACAAAGCTGCAAGAAAATATAATGATTTTAATCTTGGTTTTATCGTGATAAGATCATTGAAACATGTATTGATCCCAGAAAATGGTGTTTTATTGGATACAAAAAGAAATAAATATGATAAACTAAGGTATGATATGATTAATTTTTATATTGATAATAACCTTGACGATAGTGAATAATATCGTAATCCAATCGTGTCACCATACTGAAATTACTTATTACTATATATTATCTTGGTCTTTGAGTTTGGAGCAGGCTTGTAGTTCTGAAACTTAGTTTCATTTGTAAACATAACATCGGTATGATCTTTGGTTATCTTCTTGAGACCAACATTTATTCTATCTATATTACCTTTTGAAATCATTTCCAATATTTTATCAGCTATCGGATTTGTGACTTTTTTCTTTTTATAAGTATCTAAAATAGGATCCAAATAAAAAGTCTTCCCCCATCGTTAATCAGCTTTTTGGACCGCTTGTTCGGGCTCAATGAGTACTGATCCCTTGTAACCATTACAAGTACCAGAAATCATCCTAGCGCAAAGCTTTAGCTCACGGCATGAAATTCTCGTTCTTCCATTTGGTGGAATATACAATGTGATGAGGCTGGTGCTTCCTGATAGAGACTGTTGCTTGGCTCAAAGACGGATAAAATCTTCCATATATATCATATTACATATGTATGGAATATAATTCCCCTAACCTAAGACTGTGTATTAGTGCTCAGGAATTTAGAGAGGTAAAATACGTCACCAGTATGTTTTGCTGAATGATATTCTCTGTCTATTACTTATATTGTTTTTCAGTACGATGGATTACTTTTAGGTGGCTTTTAAGAGTATCTTGTGATGAGAATCCCCTATGAGAACAATGTGGGCATGGTAACCTGAGACCTTTCATGTAATTATATATTCTTCCTTCAGTGTGGCTGCGCCCACTTTATGGAACGCTCTTCCTGTTAGCCTCCGCAGCATCAAATGTATTTCTACTTTTAAATCTAATCTTAAAACTTATCTTTTTAAATCAGCTTTTAATATCTCTTAGATATTAAATATATTTGTACACTTTTAATATTTGTATAGTTTTTAGGTTATTTATTGTTGTAATGCGCTTTTGATCACCTAGCATGTTAAAAAGCGCCCTATAAATGAATAAATTATTATTATTGTTATTCTTACTATTATTCTGTCGTAATCATGGAAATAATGAATTTATAGCCATTCTCTTTGTACTTACCCTTCATCTCAAGTTGGGCTTCTGACACTTGGTAGTTATTTGTTGGTGACTTAAACCTGATACAAAAGCCGGAATAATTCATATGGTTATTCATGATGATGATATCAGGTTGGCCCTTTTGGTAACCCTTCTTCCAGGAGTTTATTCTCTTTGTATCATCTTGGTTTTCACCGAAGCCAGCTATTAAGATAGCCCCAGAATAGAACTGTCTGATGTACTGCACAACTTTGGTATGTAAATCAGTTTCATTCTCTATCCTAAACATGTGGTTATTGGGATTATCAAACAGCTTGTACTGCCCATATTTTCTAATGGATGGTGATGCTTGTGGGAAAACCCAATCTCGGGAATTTTTTAGCTGCTGGTAATTTTGAACCAGAAACAAGCTCGTAAAGGCCTGGCTCATAGATAAATGTGGCCAAGGAGCACTTAGTCGTTTTGACCGAGTGCATGCCGATACATGCTTCTTAATGGCCTGATATGTATCTTAGTATCCTAAGATCTGAGCCACACATTTTCCCTTAAACAACAACAACCTTCCCCCAGCAGAATTTAAGTACCACAATTTCAGAACCACTGAGGCTCAATTTGTGCCGAAAAGTAAAATAAAAATAAAAAGCGTGTAGGCAGCCGTGTGTCAATGTTTCATCCATAATTTATGCCGCCAGATATACGCCGCCAGATATACGCCAGATATAGGTATTTGACTACTATTTTAAAAGGCTAATCTCAGTTTACAAACATAAAAAGGTCTCTCTTTCAACGGCAAAACAAATAACGCAACGGCAAAATAAGACATGTATTATTCCGTTACACACGTTTCATTACTTCGTTGACATATTTGCGTTCGAGGTACGAGAACGCAACCCCTAATTTGTGTTAGGTGTTCTGTGCAATTAATGAGGGAGGTTTTTTTTAGATTGCATTTGCGTGGTCGTCGACACACATTTGCCTCGCTTTGAGGCGCTTGCTTACGTTTTGCCTCATTTTGACGCGCTAACTCATGTGGTGATTCTTGTGTCCTCGGCGTTCATCTTTCAAAGGTTTGTTGAGGTCTGATATTCTGTCTTCGTAAAGCGTTCATCTTTTAAGAGGTCTTCTAAAAAGTTTGCTGAATCTTCGTAAAGCGTACATCGATCTGTGTTTGCTGAATCGTCCAAAGCGTTCATCACAAGATGAAATAATCGCTTTAATTCATTTTAAAGCTAACTTAAAGTTACAGAAATGATATATTTAATTTATATTTAATGTCTCTACTAAAGACCTGAAATGAACCTTTAATTGTCTTTTGTGTGTGAATTAAAGCCTACTTTATGAACCATTTCATAACAGCTTTAATTTGAGTCGAAAGACAACTTAAAGGTTCATTTCATAGACTTTAAAGAGAACTCCTAAATTGTCATAAACTTACATTTAAAACTTCTTTAATGCCACCTTTAGTGTAACTTTAATTTTTGAAAATGTTTCACTGGTGAATCTTTAATTTGCCTTTAATTCTACTTTAATGTCCCATGAGTAAAACGTCATCTGTTTTAGATTGCCTTTAATTTCTCTTTAATGTACTATAAGGGGCTCAATTCATCTTTAATTTGCCTTTAAGTCTTCTTTAATATACCATAAGAGGTTTAAAAAACCTTCATTTGTGTTGCCTTTACTCTTCCCTGAACTTTATTAATTTGCAAATTGCTTAATTTTAAATGACAGGCGTTTCAGCACCTTTTATCAAGGTTTCTAGAATTGAAATAAGAAGGCATTCTCTCCCCTAGAATCTATATTATTTTGAGCAATAAGATTACTGAAAGGTGATTAAAACTGCGGTTCTCTGAAATCCATGACTGGTTCTTTTGAAGGAAAAAATATAAACACAGTGAAACATACATACAAACTCCATTTTAAAACCAGACTGTTTATTGTTTCTTTAATACTTGTCGGTCATGTACAATACCCATGTACTAAATTAATTATTTGTTTCTTTTATCAACAAGGAGTAAATTAATTGATGAACATTTTTTTATGGAATAGACCAAGGACAAGGAATTAAAAAAGGCTACATAAATCTCTTTTCTAATTTATTATAAGTTTGCAATCTGATAGGAAAGAGCTAAAGGTTATTTTTAATGACACATTTTAGTATATACCAAACAAGTGAATCATTGTTGCTTTTTGCGCATTCTTATTGGTTAACTCGGAGGTGATTCTGACGAGCAAACTACTACTCACCTCCATACAGCTGAAGAGAAACAAAATGGCTTAACGTTTCATTTTGGTTTAAAGTAATTTTTGGTACGCTAGTTATCCAGCTTGTGTGGTATACACTAAAACAATATTATTCACCTCAGTGTCAGAGTAACTGGTGGATATTTACGTCGCCACTTTGCAGCTCGGAAAATTTCCACAACTATTTGCCTCCACGGTGAACAATTGTTAAATGTAACAGAACACTGTACATATACTTCATTGTAATCTGAGTAAAGATTATATTATAGCATATTGCATTGATAAATAGTTAATCATATTTTCTAATCAAAATGATGTGCATAGATGTAAAAATTTTCATTCATTAGAATATAATATGAAATTAAGGCCTACATGCACAAGACCTAAAATTTATTGCAAATTCCATATTTTAAAAAAATATATCCAGGGGTCAGTTGGATAACTTAACTTAACTTTAGATATGTTTAAGGTATTGTACTACTGGTAGCCACAGGACTCATGATCATTCCAAGGGCCTTGAAATCTCGGGAGTTGAGGCCCAGAAATGTCTTTAATATACATAACATACACTGTGGGCTTGATCATCTTTTTGGACAATGTAGTTAAATTAATTGTGGAAATTAACTGGCAGTTTCATTGAAAGTAAAAGTTAAAACTCAGCATGTGTGTGCCAAAAGGGTTTGTTTCCTGATAATTCGTTTAAAGTGCTCAGCTGGAAGCTTAAGATAGTGAATTACCTGTGCAGAATACAATGGCCACCTTCACTGATGGTGTTTTTTTAAATATTATTTTTCTTTAACCCAGCCAGTTCATTAAAACAGAACTATGTAAACATTACTATTTTTGTTGCCAGTGTTTACAGAGCAGGGTTTCACTATATCATACTATTAAAATGGAAAAACAGTATTTAACTTAATTTAATAGAATGAAAGGGTTGACACCACTGCCTGTGTGGGTCCTGTTGAAAATGTACGGTTAGCTTTCTATATCATTTAGGGCCCACTCAGGAAATTCATTTGGAGGCTGACGTTCTGACAGTTCCTCTGCTTCTATTCTGTCCACAATCCTTTCCTTTGCCCTCTTGGATAGCCTCTTCCTGTATGCTTTATCCAGTTTTTTCTTAACTTTTTTCATTGCCCTACTTTCCCAAGGGAGTTTCCTTACTGCATACTTGGCAACCTTAGCATTGCCATTTTCATCATCTTCATAGCAGCTGTCCTCACTACTCATGGCATCCATGACGAGGACCTCTGCTGCCCTTCCCTTTTCATGGTGATCTGTCCACTTGACCAGCTCAAGAGCAGATGTTCGCCTTGTTAACTTCTGAACATAAAAAAGAATTAAAGTATGATTGAGTACGTGATCAATGTGCCAGAATTTATTACCACTTGTAGGCAATGCAACACTGAATTGTACATGGTTCACAAGGCACTTTCACTTGAGTTATATATAGTATTTATCTAATTAGTATCACATTATTCAGCCCATACATAGAAGACAATCATTTATCTTTTTAATCTAAGGGCAATTTCCAATGGTGTGTATCAAAAAGCAAACAAGAGACTGCATTCTGTAATAGTTAAACAAAAGAGGATTATTATTAAGAAAGTACTCGCATATTTTTCCAGTGCTTTATGAAGTTCATTGGTTCCCAGTACAACATAGGTATTCATTTTAAGATCTTAATTTTAACATTTAAAGCTATTCATGGATTGGCACCCAAGTATGTCATAGAATTAATTAACATTAAGCCCAGATCTATATTTATATATAATCTTGGCTCATATCAAAGTTTATTGTTAGACCCTCCTAAAGGGAAAATGCTTTTCACATTAGTTTGGTGATATAGTTCTTTCTCTGCTGCTGCTCCATACTTATGGAATAGTTTGCCGGCTGAATTAAGTGATATTCAGTCATAAGCTATTTTTAAATGTTAGCCGAAAACTTATTTATTTCATGTAGCTTTTAACACATATCCTGTTTGATATTCACTCTTATTAGTATTACTTATTAAGTTAATTATTGTTATTATAAATATTCTATTTTATTAATATACATGTAATTAGTTTTACAAATGTGAATTTTACTGTAGTATTTAAGTTGTAAAGCACTGTTGATCTTTGAATGTAAATAGTGCTCTAGAAGTTATTAAGTTACTATTACTATTATCTTGATTTTTTGGTCTGTAATTAATACATAATTACCTCTCTTTGGCGGCCACTCTTGCGCGTCACCCTTTTATGCTCTTCATACTTTGAACTACTTTTAAGTCTTCTGGTCTCATATAGGGACAGAAAATATCTTTGCAGAGCAGCTGTTTAAAAAATAGAGTAAGTTTACTAGTAAGCACATGCATACATTTTCTTTTAGATTCAGGAGAAACTGTTTGGCTTAGTTAGCAATCAATAAAACAGTGACCTGTACCTGTGACCAGTGGAATGTCACCTGTACTTAAGACCTGCCTGACTCACTGGGACCTGAAAAGGGTGCCTAACACACCTTTAGGCACCTTTTTTAGGTCCCAGTGAGTCAGGCGGGTCTTGAGTACAGGTCACATTCCACAGACCACAGGTACAGGTCACTGTTTTATGTTTTTTGGTAGGGTCCATTAGAGAAATGATGGGGGGGGGCAGGGAAGTTTAGCAGATTTAATACTTTTTTTCTGTACACTTAAGATGGAAATCTTCAATGTCTGTTGTGTTTTTTTGTTGTTGTTTGGTGATACTGCGTGGGTCTATTTTTTCTTGAGTTTTAATTTACTGGGAAAACTTTGTTTTGCTTTTGCCCAACCTCCCCCCTACCCCGTAACTTTTCTAATGGTCCAATTATTACACAAATGGATTACGTATTTGAGGCAGCCCCGTAGCAATGAATAATTACTTCTTCGCATTTTAATCGGTCTGTTTTTGCCAACATCCACTCGCAGTGATCGTGAAATAGAAGTAAAATGATGTTCTCCCCTGTCATAATTATCTATTTAAACGAGAATAATTTTTGCAGGAGTTTGCGCGCGCACCAAAACCATTTAAACGAATTAATGTACGGGCCACGGCCTCATTTTCTAATCTTCACAGTCCAGCACCTTTACACAATGCCTTTTATGTCGATGTATAGTAGATCTTTTATATTTTTCTTTTAAATGTGCGTTCCTTTTAATAATTAAGCTTACCCTGCATGCCGCAGAAACGGCAGTTGAATTTCTTGCGCTCCTACGTCGTGGGTTGGAGCGCCGTCCTCCGCGAGGAATAAATTCTCTCTCATGCAACCTATTCTCAATCCTCTGCAGAATTTCTGCCTGACTTTTGCTTGATTTCTCGTGCTCTTGCCGTAGCTTCTCGTTTTCTGCCGCAAGATTACGGTTGGTACGGATGAGCTCCTCCAACAGCACAAGACAATCTTCAGCCGAATCCGGACGAATAATGTCGTTTGCATCTGCCATAGTGAACTTCAAGGAAAAATCACTGTCTAGATCAAAGCACTAAGTATGGACCTCATCAGCAACCGAACAACGAACTAATAGGTTCAACCGTTCAAGGGCTCAAGAGGATTTGCGCGCTCTTTTTCTAAAATATGCCCCCTGATGTTTTGCCTCGCTCTGATGATCAAATACGTAGTCGCTGACCATTTGTACTATGGCTCAACAATGCGAATCGGCGCGAAAAGTTCCGTGAGAGAACGACTGTCTGAGAGCACAGCTTCTAAAACATAATTAAAAGAGCACAGGCTGGTAATTTTGGAGTTGTAAGGTAAGGTCGTCGTATTTCTATTTATTTCTGATGTATGTAGCAATACATTCGTTTGCCATTTTCCCAAAAAACCGTACACTGTGACGCATTTGCATCATTTGTTATTGACGATTGAACAGAAACAATGAGTTATTCTGATTAATTTTTGTAAACTTGAATCTTATTGATCTTTTAAATACAGACAGAAATGCTATAAGCTTATATTGCGTAATGCCGAATCCACACCGTACATGCATCGTTCATTAGTCGAGACAGAGCATACGTGCATGGTCAAGTAGAACGCGGTGCGTAGTCAAGTGTTGGTTACGGCTATACTTTCCAGCTATTCACTTTTAATACAAAAATAGGGAAAATACACGTTTCAAACGGCTTTTAATCACGAGGAGCCGCAAGCAGTAAAATTTCTGTCCCGTAATTTAATCAGTTAAATCATCAAAGTTGACAGGTCTTTCTGATGATCAAAGCGACCGTTCGGATTACCATTTACACCTTCAGTGCGAAGACTGTCACGGGAACATTAACACCCTCAGGATAATTGCTTACCATAACAGTGGTAGGTCGCGCGCGTCTGGTCGGTTTCGAAGAACGTGATCGTGACTGTTGTTTTCATTCAGTGACTGTGCGCGTTGATATGCCAACGTTTAAAACAGACTGCAACATTAAATTTTTGTTATAAAAGCAAAGAAGCTGCTGAGTAGAAACTAAACCGTCCCAGACTTATTCCGTTTCATTCGTGTACTTTTTATTTTGATGGGGTCTGTATGATGAATTTACTTATGCCCTCTAATCAGGTACGTAAACAACATAGAGATAAAACATTTCATTTTGCTTTTGTGGATTAAATTCATCTTAAAAAAGTTAAACTAGTGGACCACTTTCTCCGCGTACTTGTAAAAATAGGCATTTAATATGTCGCGCTACAGTGCGAAAATCTTCTTGTCGTGGATTAGATTTTCAGCATACATATTCTTCATTTCGCGCCAGAATAAATTAGTTTGCGCGCAAAGGGCTTCTAAAAACAGATCACAAGGTTTGTGCCACGTCGAGTCCACCTTCTGGAGATACGCCGGCATGGTAGCTGGAATACATTGCCGAGGCGAAGATCTGGCATTTTTTCCTCCTCGTCGTTTTTTCTCCGCGACGTTTGTTTATATTTGTAGTGAGAATGCCACGCATATCAGTGGATTTTACTTCAGTCAAGCGGCTTCAGTTCCCTGCGGCTTGCTACTCATCATAAAGAAGAGTGCCGGAATCGCTTTGTTCGCCTTTAAGAGATTTGTTGTCGAATGCAAGGTAAAAGAACGGACTACTGTAAGGTAAGAACTGAAGTTTAAATTTGTGCATACAACTCGTGAAACCCGTGAGCATTACCTCTGTTTTAATACACGGGATGTCATGCGATGACCCCTCGCTTTTACGATGGATAGGACGGATACAAACAATAATTCCTTTCGCAACGTTTAGTATCATTTACTTAATATGGAGATCATCTGAGGTCGAGTTTTCGTTATATATGCTTCATTTCATGACTTATTCCGGCTGCGTGCGAAAAATTAGATGACAATGTTTGTGTGCTATAATTATACTGATAATTTCTTGCTCCTTGAAACTCATGAAAGCCAAACTTGTTTAACCCTAGCAAAAAAACTCTTTTAATGGAGGAACTCAACCTGATAGTTGCACTAAAATCTAATAATTGTTACTGCATTTGCATGCTCTCTGTAACATGGTGGGTAGAACATACCTGATGGTTACATTAATAATAATCACTGCATTTGCTCTCTGTAACCTCGTGGGTAGAAATTCCTGATGATTAATAATAATCACTGCATTTGCTCTCTGTAACCTCGTGGGTAGAACATACCTGAAGGTTACGTTAATAATAATCATTGCATTTTCTCTTTGTAAGCTCGTGGGTAGAACATACCTGATGGTTACATTTAACTGCTTTTGCTCTCTGTAACCTCGTGGGTAGAACATACCTGAAGGTTACGTTAATAATAAGCACTGCATTTTCCCTTTGTAACCTCGTGGGTAGAATATACCTGACGGTTACATTTAATAATAATCTCTACATTTGCTCTCCGTAACCTTGTGGGTAGAATATACCTGACGGTTACATTTAATAGTAATCGCTACATTTGCTCTCTGTAACCTCGTGGGTAGAACATACCTGAAGGTTACGTTAATAATAATCATTGCATTTTCCCTTTGTAACCTCTCGTGGGTAGAATATACCTGACGGTCACATTTAATAATAATCACTGCATTTGCTCTCTGTAACCTCGTGGGTAGAACATACCTGAAGGTTACGTTAATAATAATCATTGCATTTTCCCTTTGTAACCTCGTGGGTAGAATATACTTGACGGTTACATTTAATAATAATCACTGCATTTGCTCTCTGTAACCTCGTGGGTAGAACATACCTGAAGGTTACGTTAATAATAATCATTGAATTTTCTCTTTGTAACCTCGTGGGTAGAACATACCTGATGGTTACATTAAAAATAATCACTGCATTTGCTGTCCGTAACCTCGTGGGTACAGTATACCTGATGGTTACATTAATAATAATCATTGCATTTTCTCTTTGTAACCTCGTGGGAAAAAAAATTAATGCCTCTCTCCTGGAAATTTTGCCCTATCCTTTGAGCATAGTGATCTTTGGGTAGCGAATTCACGAAAACAGGTAAAACGCTTTTTTTAACAACAGCATTTATATTATTTGGCTTTTTGAGGGAGGTTAAACATTAATGGAATAGAATATAAAAAAAGCTGATAAAGCGGAAAAAGTTATCCTTACAAAATGCGCTTTGACAATGTCAAGGAGTGAAATAAGCTGAAGTTTTGTAGTTAGCCAGAAGAAAACCTGTTCCTGCATGAAAAGCAGTTCTGATTCCCTTCGAAATTCTCTTAACTAGAAGAGATGCATATCCCTGTGAACCAGTTTTTTAACTAGGAGCGATTCCCACTCACTTAAGATACTTTATTGACACGAGTTCCTATTTCAATATATGTCTAATTCAAGCTTAGCCGCGTGATAGCTCTTCATTAGCGAAAAGGTCCAAGTGATATTTTGATTGACGTGTTGTTTTGGATCCTGAGGTTTTTTAACACCTTTTCTCTAGCTTAACTGGCGAAGATATTCTAGGAATTTGCCCTTCAATTCCAAATTCTTTGATGTGCCGCCAGATGCCGTGCAAAAATATCACCTCTTGCGGCTCCTCGTGATTAGGCACGAGTTATAACCACGATCATACGAAAACTCTTCAAAAAAACTAGATCGTAGTTCACACAGTCTCGATTTACAAAATGTTATTCATTAATTAGTCAACGCCGGCCTTGGGTCACGCAACATCAGTCACACAACCAATCTTCCCCTCCTGAATTGAGAGTACATGCACTCAAAATCACGTGCAAAACAAAAACTACAAATGAACAGTGTTCTAGACAATGGTATTCAATCAATGTGGAAAGCTCAGTCGTGTTTTCCAATGGACATGAGCTTTTTCGTTTAGAATTTTAAAATAGGCAAATGACACAATAAGGTTATGTTCACACTTTGTACCCAAGCACGAGTGCCTGGGTACTGGCACAAAATAGTGAGTTAACATTGACTGTGTCAACACAGTCAGTTACATATCGGGTACCCGAGTGGTCGTTTAGGGCCCTCATATGTGCCATATTTAAGTGCATTTTTTGCCATTTGGAGAGGAACTGGCACTAGTTATGCACAGGATACCCAGGAAATTTTACTGCAATCTTATTTTTCGTGATTTACATTGTATTTTTTCAAATCTTAGTCATGGATGACCCAGAGTATCTATCCTTATACAAGGGAGTTTTCCACATTATACTTAAGAGTCTATCTGTAGAGTAAGTTTTTATTTTTTGGTCATTAAGGTTTTATTCTCCTTGAGTACTGCTAATGCCAGGATAGACCAGCTGGGAGGATACCTAGGTAGTTTAGACATGGTATAATTGAAAAGCCTTTCAGGGTTTTGGATTTAATTGTTAATCAAAGGACCTTTTCTGTGGATTGTAAATTTTGTAGTTCCTTTTCTAGGGTAAACTGATTTTTAATTGGAAAAGTGGTATTTAATCTAGCCTGATTTCACTTTTTTGTTAGATGGGAAAACACAACAAAGTAAACCGTAAAAATTACTGGAAAAGACGAAAAAGGAGATTTACAGGAAGGGGAAATAAAGAACAGTGCTCTTCAACTTGCAGCAAGGAGGAGCAGAATCATGGTGGCTTGGAGAGTGATTTTGACCATGCAGACAATGACAGTGAGGATCAGGCTGGCCATAGCTTGCAGAACTATCTGGACACTTCAGATAATGGCAGTGAATATCAGAATGATCATAGCCTCGAAAACAGTCTCATCCCTTCAGTTAATGACAGTGAGGGGCTGAATGTTAATGCTGAAGATGAACTCACAGCCTGTAGCACTGATAATGAAAGTGAACGCAGTGATAAATGCCTTGATTTAAATGATCCCAAGGTCATAAAACTCTTTGACCAACCTAAACCAACTGAGGATCCACTGTGGGTGAATATGTTTGTGTATCAAAGACATAAGAGGAAGCTGTTAAAGCTGTTGAGAAACCCACTTGGAGTCAAATATTAAACGGTAAGTTATGCACTGTAGTACTAATTTTAAAGAAAAACTTTAAGGTGAACATTGGCAATGTTTATCATCTACTTTCATATTGTTCTACAAATCCACAGCAAGCACTAGTGCTAATCAAGGCTGTGCACTGAGAAAGACAGTAGAGAGCCCAAAGCTCTGAACCTGTGAAAGCTAGGGTCCCTGTGATATGAGTTTTATGAGAAAAAATACTTCCTTGATTTCCTAGTCTTCTAAGGGCAAAAGTGCAGCCAGAACACAGACCTGCAAATAGCAGAAAGCAAATTTTTTTCCAGGAACCACTGATTCCCAGTTATACCTTATCTCCCCTTCCAGGAAGGGATATTCATTCTGACTGTTGACCATGTTGGGGCTCATGTTAAATTTGAATCAGCCTGTGGAAGTCACAGCAGCATTGAGCCCACAATAGGTAAGGGGGAACGGAATACCAGTAGGCATACATGAAGTTTTCCAGTTTTTTGATAAGTAACATGAGATTTTGTCCCTTTGATGCAAAACACACAAGTGGCTGCTTTTTTCCAGACATTTAAGTTTCTACGCCTTTTCACCAAACACATGAATGCGGCAGATTTTGTATGTACTTTGATTTTGCACACAAAGTTTGGCAGTTTTACTTTCAGTGACCATAGCTTTCTAGACTTGAGATGCAGTGTACATGTGGTGAGATTTTATCACCTGGAGAAGAATGTGAGAGACGACTTGTTAGATCAGCAGGCTTTTATATTTTCTTGAAGACTGGTGCAGAATGCGACTGACGGCTTATTATCAGATCTTAGAATTTCTGCACCTTTTCAGTTGGCACATAAAAACAGGCAGATTTTTTAGTAGACTGGTGCAGAATGCGAGTGACGGCTTCTTGTCAGATCTTTGAATTTCTGCACCTTTTCAGTGAGGACATAAAAACAGGCAGATTTTTTAGTAGACTGGTGCAGAATGCGAGTGGCGGCTTTTTGTCAGATCTTTGAATCTCTGCACCTTTTCAGTGAGCACATACAAAAACAGGCAGATTTTTTAGTAGACTGGTGCAGAATGCGAGTGACGGCTTTTTGTCAGATCTTTGAATTTCTGCACCTTTTCAGTGAGCACATACAAAAACAGGCAGATTTCTTAGTAGACTGGTGCAGAATGCGAGTGACGGCTTATTGTCAGATCTTCGAATTTCTGCACCTTTTCAGTTGGCACATAAAAACAGGCAGATTTTTTAGTAGACTGGTGCAGAAAGCGAGTGACGGCTTATTGTCAGATCTTTGAATTTCTGCACCTTTTCAGTGAGGACATAAAAACAGGCAGATTTTTTAGTAGACTGGTGCAGAATGCGAGTGACGGCTTTTTGTCAGATCTTTGAATCTCTTCACCTTTTCAGTTAGCACATAAAAACAGGCAGATTTTTTAGTAGACTGGTGCAGAATGCGAGTGACGGCGTATTGTCAGATCTTTGAATTTCTGCACCTTTTCAGTGAGGACATAAAAACAGGCAGATTTTTTAGTAGACTGGTGCAGAATGCGAGTGGCGGCTTTTTGTCAGATCTTTGAATCTCTGCACCTTTTCAGTTAGCACATGAAAACAGGCAGATTTTTTAGTAGACTGGTGCAGAATGCGAGTGACGGCTTATTGTCAGATCTTTGAATTTCTCCACCTTTTTAATGAGCACATGAAAAAGGGGATGATTTACTAGTAGACTGGTGCAGAATACGAGTGACGGCTTATTGTCAGATCTTTGAATTTCTTCACCTTTTGCATTTCTGCACTTTTTTAGTGGTTATTATACATGAAAATGTAGCAGATTTTGAATCAGTCTTGAATTTGGGCATAACCTGTGGCTAAAATGTCAGCGACAGTACATGTAGCTTTCTAGAGATTTGATATAATAAGTGAGATTTTATCACTTGGTGCTTGGTTATCATGAGTAAGTTGAGTATTCCAGAACAAAATTGATTAACAATCCACTGCACAGTATCTACAGGTTTTTAAGACTCCTAGGACTTGTTCATTATTGGAAAAAATTGTCTCAATCAGATGTAAAAGTTTTCTATGTGGGTAGGCAAGGACCTCTTCTGATCCACAATGGAAATTTTTGGAACATTTAAGTCTCTTTCCCAATGCATGGTTTATAATTAATTAATGTGAGACTTGTTTTTCTTTTTTCTTTATAGTGACATGAAGGAAAGCTGAGGCGTACCTACATCTGTACTTTACATGTTTTTGTCATGAATATTAAATTGTTGTGAAATATGTAACTTTTCCTTACACTGAAGTTCAAACTGACATAAAAGTGATGCAAGGTACGATGCAGAACTAATCAGCGACTGAACAATGTAATTAGTGGATAGTGAATGTGTAATCAGTGAATGATCAGTTGATTACTTATTCAATATTGCCAATACTCAATTTGTAATACATGTATTTGGGACTAACCAAAGGTCCACAAAATTTTTAGTCATTGATTAATCATTGTTGTCACTGATTAGTGATTGCACTTGTGATCCACATTAAATTAGTATCTTGCCGGAATACACCTTTCATAAATGAACTTTTGCTTATGAAACAACTTCTGTTTTCTGGAAAGTGTTTCTGTGTCCTTTGATTGGCTACTCCAACTCAAGAAAATTAGCTAGTAAATGGCTGGTCGCCATCTGGATTTGTTCTAGATTTTTCATGCGAGCTTACATACCTGTATTTTTGCACAGTCCCTTTAAATTTTATTATAAGTGAACATTCCTGTTGATGGGAGCCACCACAACTTGTTTTTGTCCCTCAAACTCCAGTTCAGCCGAGGCAAATCTTGAAAAGATCCTTTGGACTGGCATAAACGATGAGGGTCCTCCTCGATGGAATTTGTTTTTACAGACTCTAATTGGGTTGCCATATAGACTGGTAGATTGTTCGTGTGGTATATACCATTTCATGCAGGCAAAGTGGTGTGCGAGATGTTCATCCCCCAGCTGAATAGAATGCTTGAAATAGTAGCGTACAATCCCGGCAGACAACAAAAATCTGTCCTGAAGGACTTCTCCATTGTCTGCCACCCAGGACGCTAAAATCTTGCTAGACCGAATTCGTCTGGGCTGCATTTGTGATCCATATGTAGTTGTCCAAATTTTTATTGTTCCAAATTTCTGTATACCTTCTGCCAGATTGGCTATTTCAATCTCCCTTCCTGGGTACAGGATTTTATAAACTTGTTTCAACAATGTCGCGTCATCCACATCCAAATGAACCAGTTTATAACTGGAAGGTCGGGTAACCCCGGAATCATTTCTCCAGTTTATACCATTAAGAGGTGCCTTTGTTGCAATATTTCGAAACTCGTGTGCGACGCACCAATTGTGAGGGTGAACCTCTTCTGTAACATCACTGTCCGACATGCCCGAAGATGAACATAAACCCAAAAATTCAATTTTGTACTTGTCTGGTAACTTCATATCTTTCAATTGTCTTGATATCAAGAGCTTTCTCATGAGTTGCAACTCAACCGATCTCTTGTTGGTTGTAGTGCTGCCCATTATGCCATTAAAGCGTTCGAAACTGAAGCACCAAAAGCTAGTTATAGGTCCGTGGTCGAGTATGACCTCTTTGAGATGATTATGTAAGTGCATATTGGGTGTGATCACATGTTTTTCGTACAGAGTCTCTACTCACTTGCAGAACTTGAGTATTAACCCGTCAGCTATGTCCAAGTCAGTTCCAGAAATCACGGATTGGCATAGGTATTTGCATGCTAGCACAAACGTTTGCCAGCATTTTAAATGCTCATCTGGTAAAATACCTTTAAGGCAGTAAATTGAATAAATGAGTGTCCAATTTTTCCATTGTTCTGCCGTGTACGAACCGGAATTGCTGGATATTCGCATAGGCAGTCGACCGATATCACTGGGAACCTCTATGGACTTTATCCTCTCTTCAATTTCTTTGAGCTGGCCAGTGGAAAATAATTTCAAATCATTCCACAGCTGGAACATTTTCTTTGACGTACCTAGAAAGAGGTTGTGCATCGGATCTACGGTGCAGAATCTTATAATATCGAAATATTCGAGTTCCAGTAAGACACTGTAGTGACTGATGCCACTACTCTGCCCTATTGACTTCCGCTCTGCCTTTGTTTTGCTCCTGGAAATTTTTGTTGCTTGGCGCCGATGGTCTTCATTGATACGGGGACTCCAAGAGTTTCTATCGAATCCCGAATAATCTCTTTTTTCCCCAAAGCCGCCGGGAAATTTCTTTAAGCAGCGAGAGCACCCAACTAACGCCGAATGGCTCTTGAATCCACAGATTTTTCTTGTGGCCGGAACATCGGAAGAAATGCTAATAACTGCTGCACGAAACGTTAATGCGAATCTACTGAGACAAGATCTTAAACGAACTCCTTTCCACAGTGCTCTCAGTTCATCTACTACAGGCTCTAAAAACTGATTCAAGTCTTTGGGTTCCTTGTCAAGGGAGGGAACAATGCCTAGAACAATGATGTTCTCCCATTTAAACCTTTCAGCTCTAGGGAAATTCAAGAGGGCTAAATAAAACACTCCAACAGAATAGTCCTTGCGGTGTTTCATTGGTTGAAAAAAATCACAGTTCAACATGAAACCATAATTTCGTGGTTTCTGTAGAAATGGCGTGCCATTGAAAGTTTGGAATTCTTTCCACAAATTTCCATCATACACGTCTGCAAGGAGGCCATCTTTCACTTCCCTGTTTCTCCATAATTCGCAGTCTGAAGCGAAATTTTCCTGAAGAAGAAACTTTTCTAGCTCCTCGATAATACTTCTGGCGCAATAGTAACTGATCGGATAGAAACATGTTTTGCCATTCTGAAGAGTCACCTTAGTTACCAAGGAGGCGTTGCAAACCATCTTCTTTCTTCTAGAGTAGTAAGTGTTAGTGCACTTTTTTTGCCACTTGCTGGCTGTTTATCATCTCAAGGCAGGAGTCATATTTGTAAAGTTTTGTGCATTTGGGGCACACAACGTACTTATTAAAATTG